TGACTCCAGGCCTACTACTCTATCCACTGAGCCACTTAGCTGCCCCATTTATTAAGGGCCTACTTTGTGCCAGTCACTGTAATGAGACTGGGGATACAAAAAAAAGGCAAAAGACAGTCCCTGCCTTTAAACAGTTCCCAATCTAATTGTGTAAATAAAACATAAAAAGCTAAAAACAGAGAGAAAGGAAAAGGCAGACATGATTAAGTCCAGAGGAGTACAGCTGGGTGGGAAATGAAGAAATGTCTGCCCTGAGTGCCCTCCTTAAATAGAGGGTTTAAGAGGAGCTCTCCACTGTCCAGCTCTCCAACCAGAGGTGGGGAAGGGCCCCAGGGGTGGGGGGAGGGTATTGAGGAAGTTTTAAGGTTGATATGATCTTGCGGGAAGATGAGATTCCAGTGAAGTTCAAGAGTCCAACTGGGTGTGAATTGATGCTGAAATAACAGACATCTTATAAGGCCAAGCTTAAAGCCCAGAAACCTCCCTCTCCTTAAACTTCTTACCTGTATCATCTGGCATTCGTCAACTCTGCCTTGTAAATTATCTTTTCATGTACATACACTATCCATCTATACTGTAAACTATAGGGCAGGAATTCATTCTCTATACTTAGGATTATAGGATAGAGTTGAAAGAGATCATTGGAATAATTTAAACCAACCCCTTCTTTTACGGATGAAGAAACAGATGCTTAGAGAGGTTAAATTTCTTGCTCAAGACCACACAGGTTGTAAATAGCACAGCTGGCATTTGAACCCAGGCACTGATTCCCAGCTGTCTTCTTCCATAATGAATTACAGGAAGCCTGTAGGCATTTGTTCAGCTCATTATATCACTATTGTAAACCATTCATCTTTAAAGAAAGAGAAGAAGGAGCTAGAGGAAAAGAGAGAGAGACAAAGAAGATGGAGAGAAAGATTTGCAAGAAAGTGACATTATTTTCTCCATTTTTTTGGCCAGTAGATGGCAATGGAGCTCAGGCTTTAAACTCATTGATTTCTTGGGTTTTGTTTTTTTTTTGTTTTTAATCACTAGCATGTATATTTTGTTGTTAAGTCGTTTTTCAGTCATGTCCGATTCTCCTGATCCCATTTGGGGTTTTCTTGGCAGAGATGCTGGAGTGATTTGCCATTTGCTTCTTCCACTCATTTTCTAGATGAGGAACTTCACAAATATCATCTTATTTTTTCCCTGAGTGGTAGGTGCCATTATCCCATTTTAAAGATAAGGGAACTAAAGCAAACATCAGTTAAGTGACTTTCCCAGGGTAACAGCTATCATTTGAGGCCAAATTTGTATCCAAGCCCCTTCCTCCTTACGGAGACAGATAGATGTGAAGAAAGAGGGGTGGATGGAGCCAGAGGTGGGAGAGAGGGAGGGGAAGCAAGAGTGAGGGAGAATGGGAAGGAGGGGAAGAAAAAGGAAGAGGAATGAGTGAGTAAGAGAGAAGGGAAGAGAGGGGGTAGGAGACTGGTAAGAGTTTTGTTGGATTTTTTTTTTCAGTCCTATTTGATTCTTTGTAACCCCATTTGGGGTTTTTTTGACAGAGACACTTTTGCCATTTCCTTCTCCAGTTCATTTTACATATGAGGAAACTGAGGACAACAGGGTTAAGTGACTTGTTCAGAGTCATGCGGCTAGTAAGCGTCTAAGGCCAGATAAGAGTAGGTGGTGGTGGTAGTTTTATTTTGTTTTGTTTGTTTGGTTTTTTTTTTAAGGGAAGATAGAAAAAAAAAAGGACAACCTAAGAGGAGCAAAGGTACTGAATGTCATCCAACCACAAAAGTGGTGAACCAGGTAGCTTTTGAGGAATAATCAGGATTAGAAAGTAGGTAGAAAAATCTGAGAGTAATAGGGGCAGACAGATAGATATAGCACCAAATAGCACCAAAGAGACAAGCTATTTAAGAAAAGTTACTGAACTGTTCACACCTTCTGACTCAGGTAGTATTACACTGCCAGTCATATACTGACCTCCAGGAGCTTACATGTATACCTAAATATTCATAGCAGCACTTTTGGAGGTAGCAAAAATTGACAACTGTGTGCCCATTGACTTGGGAATAGCTGGTAGTTGTCCTTCATTCTCCAAGAGGACCAAAATGTTGCGTCAGAGTTAAGTTTCATTGTGTCTGACTGGCTGATCAGACCAATATGAGCTCAGAATGCTCTACCACAGGTTGGGCACAAATAGTCCATGTGAACATTGCAGGTGGATTCTCTAAACCTGTGCATCTCATATTTCTTTTGAGCTACTTCAATTCTGCTTTGCTCATAGGGCACAGCACCTTCTCTTATGAGGCCATGCCATGCTGGGCAGTCCTGTGCCAGTGTCTCCCATGACACACAATCAATTCCAAAGTTTTTACTTGAGAGTGCTCTTGAATTGCTTCTTCTGACCACCATGTGATTGCCTGCCTTGCTTTTTAGGCAAGCATGGCCTTTGGCATTTGAACAACATAGCCAGCCTATTGGAGTTTTGTTCTCTGCAGTAGAGTTTGAATGCTTGGCAGTTTGGTTCGAGAAAGGACCTCAGTGTCTGGTACCTTACCCTGCCAGGTGATCTTCAGAATCTTCCTGAGACAATTCAAATAGAAATGATTCAGTTTCCTGGCATGGCACTGGTATACTGCCCAGGTTATGGGGAACAGTAGAACACACTGTGGCACATTAACTAGAATATCATTGTATTGGAAGTAGACTAATAGTGAATTAAACTGGACCAGGAAAAGAATATACAAAATAACACCAACGAAAAAAACATCAAGTACTTTGAAATGAGAAAACGCACTTTTATCTTTTCATTGAAGTAAAAGATTATGGATGTGGTACGTTTCAAATGAGTTCATCTGATTTGTTTTGGTTCTTAACTGCCCTGGCTATTGATTGGGGAAGGGGGGATTAAGTCAAATCTCACCTTAAAGACAAAGCCCATGAGGACCTAGCTCACATGCCACTTCCCTCCCTCTCCTGTGGGAAAAATACTCAATCTTTGGATTCAGAGGATCTAGATTCGAATCTTGTCTCTGACATTACCTGTTGGACCGTGGACAAATGACTTAACCTCCCTAGGATTGTTTCTTCAGTTGTACCATGAGGGGGTTGGACTAGATAACCTGAGGTCCCTATAAGCTCTACATGTGACAGCTAGATGGCACAGTGGATAGTGCTTGACTTAGAGTAAGGAAGATCTGAATTCTAGTCCTGCCTTAAGACACTTACCAACTGCGCGACCCCGGGAGAATCACTAAACCTCTCCCAGCCTTGCTGTAAGGACCAAGTGAGATAACATATGTAAAACTCCTCACAAACCTTAAAGAGATATATAAATGCCAGCTATTATTATCTGATTCTTTTCTATCTTCCTGCTTCCCTGCACAAATCACTATATATTTTGGCTATTTCCCATATTTATTTCTCTATGAAGATTTATATTCTCCCTTTACCACTTGAAAATACATGATCTTTGGTTGACAAAGCAGTTTTCTCTCTTTAATTATCATATCCCCATTGCCCAACACGAGGCCTAATAAAATGCTTGTTGCTAGATCCTGAAAGAGCCCCTCATTTTGAGTTTTGCTTTTTCTTTGTTTCTTTGTGGCTTGGGGAAGGGGGTGGAGAAGGTGCGGAGAGAGGGAGATGTGATTGGGGGATCCAGAAATGATTGGGTTATAAAAACAAAGGTCTATCAATAAAACTTAAATCAGCACTGAAGCCACTGCAAAGGTAGATCATCTTTATTGCATTAATTAAAAAAAAAAGTTGCAGCCACATGGTGGCTATCGGTACAACCATCTGATATCTCCCTGTAGGGTGGGGGCAGGAAAAAAAGCAACCAAGATAGAAAACATCATCTATACTAGGAATAGGAAATCAAACAGCTGCCCCTCCTCCAATTGCTGCCCAGACCTGGGGAGAGAAATCCTTCTGAAGGCTAATAAGAACAGTGAACTCCAGGAGCAACCCCATTTTAGCCAACTTCCATTTTAGAGAGCAAAGACTGTCCCTATTCCTCTCCATTCCCAGGAGGCGCAATGCCCAGAGCTCTTCCTGACTCTAAGATGGGCAAGGTTTTCCCAAGTGAGGTCCCTGGCTTCCTTCCCAAGTAGAGGCCCAGCTACCCCTGCTCACAATATCACAGTCTACAACTGCTCCTCCCAGAAAGCATTCTTGTCCACTCCGCCCCAGTAGCGATACACTTCAATCACATCACAAATATGAACTAAGAATGGGAGTGGGGGCTGGAGGGAGTGGAGGCCATGAGTTTCAAGGGACATGTTTATGTAACTTTTTCCTCCAAACTAGTTCCAAAATTTGATGAAGGCAGTGCAGCAGTCCTTAACCTCTTTTGAGACATGGACCCATTTTTTCTAGTGAAAACTATGGGCCTCTTCTCAGGATAACATTTTTAAATAATTGAAAGAAATGCTAATTGCCAGTTAGAAGTCAGTAAAAATGAAATGAAATAAGATGAAATTTGTTTTTTCCCCATCCAAGTTCACCAACTTGGATGAAATCTGTCCATGGACTTTGGGTTAAGAAACCCTGCCATAAAGGACTGATCTCTCCTCCATTTGTCCAGAGCAAGAATGAACAGCCAAAAGTCAATGAGTTCAAGGTCAGAAGGCTTTTTAACTCTCTGATGCTGGACTGCTCCTTTGTGCTGCACGGGCTGAATGCCAGGCTACAACCAGATTCCTGGAACACAATGTGATGATGCTTGAGATGGGTTTAAATCAGGTTCTTGGAACAATGTCACCTTTAGATGAAACCCATCGTAAGTACGGTCTCACAGCTTTGGCTGGAAGCAGGCGTTCTTCAGGCAGTCCCTTGGGTGGATTAATGCTGGCTGGTGGGCCCCTGCTGGGCCAGTGGCTACGGAAGGGATAACCCTCTAGTAATACCCCCAAGGACTCCATCAGCCTAACGAAGATGGAGAGGAATGTCAAAAGCATGCCCAGCATGTAGAGGTTCAGCACATGCTTCATGGTAGGAAGGCTCTTCAGGTGGACAGCAAAGAGCTCGATTCTGTCTGGGGTCACCTGATCCTTCAGACCCTGGGAAGAAAGGGCAGTGAGAATCATGAGCAACTCTGGAGGAATTAAGAATCCTGCGTCTTAGACAAGAGCTTCCTAATTTCATTCTTGTCCCTTTGGTCATATGATAAAGACCCCTTCTCAGGATCATATTTCTGATTAATATAAAATAAAATGCAGAAGGAAACCAATTATATTGAAATAAAGATGGAACTGTTTTTCTCATCTAAATTCATGGACACCCCTCCCCAAATCTATTAGGGCCCATTTTGGATCCCAGATTAATAATAATCCCTGATGTAGAGGCTACAGAGAAAGCATTAAGAAAAAGATTAATCAATATGGGAAGCTAACCTCTGCCCCAGGGGCACAAAGACCATTTACATTTCTATTCTCTTGATCCAGCCAGCCTAAACTGAAGGGCTATTTAGATCATAAAGTGAAAAGAGGGCTTGGGAGTTTAACATACTAATAATCTCTTAATCCTCCATTAAAGTCTTATTTCACAGGGCTGATCTGGACCTGGAGGTGACCCTGGGTTCTAGAAAGGTACTGGGAACTCCTTGGGAGCGAGGACTTGCCATTCTTTGTACCCCCAGCACTTGGCACTGTGTCTAGCACATAGTAGGTGCTTAATAAATGCTTGTTGACTAATTGGCCAATCTGGAAAGGCCCTGTTTATAGACTATTTAGTTGACTGGACGAGTTAATAGTTAACATTTATAGACTGCTTTATGTTTGCGAAAATGCTTTATATGTTATCTCATTTGTTTCTTACAATAACACTGTGAGGTAGGTAATTCTTTGTTATCCCCCAAATTTTTCTAAAGGGAAGCAAAGATTTAAATAGTATTCCTACTACTACCATCACCAGCATAGCATGGCATGGTAAATGACAGAGGGCCTGTCTTGAAGCCAGGAAGATGTGGGTTCAAGTCTTGCCTGGGACACATACTAGCTGTGTGACCCTGGACAAGTCACTTTACTGCTTGGTGCTCTAGGGAGCTCTCCAAGACTACAAGTTGAAGAGAATGTCCTAACCTGCATTGACAGAGGGTGTTTCCTTACCTAAGAGTTCCTATCAATACTAGGGAAACCACAGACCATGTCCCTACCTCCATACTCTCTCTTCCCATTTCTTTAGCACTGGCGGTTTAGAAAGCATTTTCCTCACAGCAACCCTGAGGTTGGGTCTGTATCTGTATACCCATTTGATAGATAAGGAAACTGTAGCTCAGAGATATTATGTTCAGGGTCACATAAGTATGAGAGTCAGAAGATAAGAGTGTCACATCTGACTCTACATCCGACTATCTAAAATAAAGATGAGATTTGAACTTGAGACTCACTGTGCCCTAATCACCCATTTTCGGGGAAAGGGAGAGAGGTTAACAAGTTGCTAGGGCAAGGAGGTAGTAGGAAGATTAGCTTAACGTAGGTAAGCTTCTGAAAGTTCCCCACCCCCCATTCCGCTAATTAAAGCTTTATTTTGGCTCCTGTCCTAGAAAGACTCTCATTACCACCTGCACAGGATAGCTCCAATGGCCTCAGGCTGGTAGCAATGTGCTACTGGGGCCAAAGAGTGGGTGAGGGACTCAGAAAAAGGAGGGAGAATGGATTTTCCAAAGTGGAGCCAAGGCAGGCTGGCCCAGCAAAAGCCTACATATCAACACCAGACCAAAGAATGATCAAGAAATCCAATGAGATATAGGAGGACTCTCTGGGAAGAAAATGTTGATGATGTAAAAAACAAAAGACATCAATAAAAGTTTATTAAATAAAAAAAAATTCATTGAGAAACTACAGTAAATTATTTCTTCCATCCCAGAACTATACATAAAGTCATGCAATAGGAAAATGCCAGCACCAGCACAAGCTAACAAGCCTGAAGCTTCCCAGCTGGACCAGAAACGGGTATAGACCAAACTGAAATTAATGATTTCCCAAGACAGCAAGAAATAGGACAAAATCAAAAGACTGGGAAAAAAGAAAAGTAAATGTGAGATTGCTGATAGGTGTATCACTCCCCCCTGAAAAAAAGGGAGGGCAGTGGAAACAAGCTTTTTCAATGTATAGATGAAAACTGAAGAAAGATCAGAAGAAAGCACAGATAAGCAGGGCAGTTTTGAAAGTAACATGTGAGACTTGTCATATGCTTTTTCAAAAATGCAATGGACATACAGATTATAGAAGGCACCTACAAGCCACCTCACAATTTTTGGACAAGGCCCTGAGGAGCTATGCAACATACTCCTATCCTTGAAAGTTGGATGTTATGTATGGGACTACTCCATTGATGTAGGGGCAGCTAGGTGGTGCAGTAGATAAAAACACGGGAATTAGGGTTAGGAAGATTACTTTCCTGAGTTCACATCTGGCCTCAGACACTTAACTAGCTGTGTGACCCTGGGCAAGTCACTTAACCCTGTTGGCCTCAGCTTCCTCATCTGTAAAATGAGCTAGAGAAGGAAATGGCAAACCACTCCAGTATCTCTGCCAAGAAAACCCCAAATGGGGTCAACGAAATGTTGGACATGACTGAAAAAAAACAAAACAAAACAAAAAAACAAATGAATGACCAACAACTCCAGCAGTGTGGTCTGGAGTTTGGGAAAACAGAAACAGAAGAGATACTGTTCGTGCCAAAAGTACAACTTGCCATCATTTTCTTCCCATGAGCCATGTGACCCTGAAGGAATTACTTGAGATTTTCAGTTTTCCTGTCCTTCAAATGGGAATAATGTGCATAGGGTACTTGTTTTGAAGATCACATGATACAGCACAGTGAAAAGCATTTTGCAAGCCTTTAAGGATTTCTGGGGCAGTGCTAACATTAGTGGATTCAAAGTCAGAGGACCTGAATTCAAGTCTCAGTTCTGCAGTTTACTACTTCTAGAACTTTAATCAAGTGTTTCATTCCTCTGGGCTTTGGTTTCTTCATCTGTAAAGTTAGGAGGTTGAATCAGATGAAGTCTAAGGTTCTTCCGGCTTTATATTTATGACCCTTTTGCTCATTCCAATAATGTTCCCCACTCAAACTCACCTTTGCCATTAAGTCTTCCCTGATCAGAGTCAGTAAAACACTCTATACCTCTCACAATAATAACAGAAGCTGCTCAGTGGCTCAGTGGATAGGGCCCTGGACCTGGAGTGAGGAAAAACTGAGTTCAAATCCAGCCTTAGACACTTAACTAACCGTATGACCATGAACAAGTCACTTAAACTGTCTACCTCAGTTTCCTCAACTGTAAGATAGGGAAAATAAATAATAGTACCCACCCTGTAGAATTGTTGTGAGGATGAAATGAGATAATATTGGTAAAAAGAGCTTAGTTCAGTGCCTGGCTCATGGTAGGCGCTTCATAAATGCTTGTTCTCTTCCCTTAATAAAAATAGCTCACATTTATGTAATTTTCAGTCATGTCCAACCAGGAAGACTCATCTTCCTGAGTTCACATTTGGCCTCAAGACACTTAGTAGCTATGTGACAAAGTCACTTAACTCATTGGCCTCAGTTTCCTCATCTGTAAAATGAGCTAGTGACAGGAAATGGCAAATCACTCCAGTATTTTTGCCAAGAAAACCCCAAATGGCATCACAGAGAGTAGGACAAACCTGAACAAAAAGTATTTATGTAGCACTTTCCGAATTTTATCTCATTTGACCCTCACAAAAATCCTAGGAAAAACACAACTATGAAACACTTTTTTACACAACCAAAGTCAGATCTAAATAATGGAAAAAACATCAGTTGCTCATGGGTAGGCCGAGCTAATATAATAAAAATGGCAATTCTACCGAAGGTAATTTACTTATTCAGTGCCAGACCAATCAAACCACCAAAAAATTATTTTATAGAGCTAGAAAAAAATAATAACAAGATTCATTTGGAATAACAAAAGGTCCAGAAGAGAACTAATGAAAAGAAATGCCGGGGAAGGTGGCCTGGCCATTCTAAATCTTAAATCGTATTACAAAGCAGCAATCATCAAAACTGCTTTGTACTGGCTAAGAAATAGAGTGGTGGATCAGTGGAACAGGTTAGGTACACAAGACAGAGTAGTCAATGACTATAGTAATCTACTGTTTCATAAACCCAAAGACCCCAGCTTCTGGGATTAAGAACTCACCATTTGACAAAAACTGCTGGGAAAACTGGAAAAGAGTATGGCAGAAACTAAGCATAGACCAAAATCTCACACTATATACTAAAATAAACTCAAAATGGGTTCATGATTTAGATATAAAGGCTGATACTGTAAGCAAACTGGGCAAGCAAGGAATAGTTTACCTATCAGATTTATGGAGCACAGAAGAATTCATGACCAAACAGGAGATAGAGAACATTACAAAATGCAAAATGGATAACTTTGATTACATTAAATTAAAAAATTTTTGCACAAAGTCAATGAGTAGAAAATTGGGAAAGAATTTTTACAACCACTGACTCTGATAAGGGCTGCATTTCTAAAATACATAGAGAATTAAGTCAAATTTATAAGAATACAAGTCATTCCCCAATTGATAAATGGTTCAAGGATATGAACAGGCAGTTCTCAGATGAAGAAATTAAAGCCATCTATAGTTATATGAAAAAATGCTCTAAATCACTAGTGATTAGGGAAATGCAAATCAAAACAACTCTGAGGTACCACATCACACCTATCAGATTGGCCAACATGACAAAAGAGGAAAATGACAAATGTTGGAGAAGATGTGGGAAAGTTGGAACACTAATGCATTGTTGGTGGAGTTGTGAAATGTTCCAACCATTTTGAAGAACAATTTGCAACTATGCCCAAAGGGCTATAAAAATGTGCATACCCTTTGATCCAACAACAGCACTTCTAGGGCTGTATCCAAAAGAGATCATACAAATGGGAAAAGGACCCACATGCACAAAAATATTTATAGCAGCTCCATGGCAAAGAATTGGAAATTGAAAGGATGCCCATCAACTGGGGAAAGGCTGAACCAAGTTGTGGTATATGAATGTAATGGAATACTATTGTGCAGTAAGAAATGATGAACAGGCAGATTTCAGAAAAACCTGGAAAGACTTGTATGAACTGATGCTGAGTGAAGTGAGCAGAACCAGGAGAATGTTGTACACAATAATAGACATGTTGTGGGCTGACTAATATTGATAAACTTAACCCTTCCCAGTAATACAAGGATCTAAGACATCTCCAAAGTCCTCATGATGGAAAATGCTATCCACATTCAAAGAAAGAACTATGGAGTTTAAATGCAGATGGAAGCATACTATTTGCTATTCTTTTTCTTCTGTTGTGTTTTGCTTCCTCTCTCTAGTGGTTCCTCCTATTGGTTCTAATTCTTCCTTACAACATCACTAATGTGAAAATGTTTAATAGGAATGTATATGTATAGCCTATATCAGATTTTGAGCCTTCTTGGGGAAGCAGGCAGAGAAAAATTTAAAACTCAAAAGCTTATGGAAATGATTGTTGATAAATCAAAATAAATTAATAAAAAAAAATCCTAGGAGGTAAGTACTATATGCCATTTTATGGATGACGAAACTGAGGCAGAGGTTAAATGACTTGACCAGGGTCACATATCTAGTTAAGTGTCTGAGGCTGTATTTGAACTCATTTCTGACTCCAAGTCTAGGGCTCTATCTGCTTCACAATGAGATCAGAGGATCTGTAGTTGGGACTAGACTTTAGAGGGCCCTCCAGTCAGTCAATTAATCAAGTACTTACTGAGTTCTTTCTATCAGGAACAGTGCTACACACTGAACTCACATCCATCCACAACCACCTACACCCACCCACAGCCTACACCCCACCACACACACACACACACACTCTCACGACAAATCCCTGCCCTCAAAGAGCTTAAATTCTAATGACAGTAGATAACATAACACACCACATACAGAGTAAATGCAAAGTAACATTAGAGGAAAAGACTGTAACAACTAAGGGGGGGTGGGGTGAGGGAGACTACCAGGAAAGGTCACTCCCTTATTTTCCCAGAGAAAAACTGAGGCCCAAAGAGGGAAAATAATTTGTTTAAGGTCACAAAGTTTTTGAGAGGTGGAATTTGAATCCAAGCCTTTGGATTCCATATCCAGTGCTCTATGAAAGAAAGGGGGAGGGAGGAGGGGGGGGGGAGGGAGAGGGAGAGAGAGAAAGAGAGAGAGAGAGAGAGAAAGGGAGAGAAGGAGGGAGAGAGAGAAGGAGGGAGGGAGGGAGGAAAAAGGAAGAAAAAAAGGATGAATGAAGGAAGGAAGGAAGGAAGGAAGACCGTAAAGATAATATTGATTATAGGCTTCAATAAAACTAACTTTGGTGGTAGGCTTTCAAATCAACAGATCAGTAGTTATTTGTGTACATGAGTATTGGAATAGTTAATGGATAATAACATTTCTTTCATTTCTAAAGCTCTGAGAGTCTCAACCTATCTATCTCCCCTATATAGTATAAGCTCTGGGAAGGTACAAACCGTCTTTTTAATCCTTTTATCTTTCAGGAGGACCTAGCAGATAGCTGGTTTTTCAATAAAGAACCATAGCCTCAAGGGTCAGGAGGCAGCCTCTACTTCTCTCTGAGAGGCAAATCACCTTAGTTTCCCCAGTAAAGATGGGACTATTGTGTCTTCTACCTGGCTTACAAGGTTGCCATTAAGGATGAAGTGTGAAAAGTAATACATATAAACAACACATAAATATGTCACATTGTAATTACAGTCAGAAGTCACCCTATAAAAACAACTATCTATCACTATTACTTAATCCTTAGAAAACATTTTACATACATTATCTCATTTGATCCTAATGGCTTAGCCAATTGGGGACCTCTCAAGTATTATCTCCATTCTACAGCTTAAGAAACTGAGGCTCAGAAACTTTCAATGACTCACCCAATGTGGCAGAGCTAGTTCTCCAAGTCCAAAACTCTTTTCACTGTAGCAATGAAAAATGACCAATTTTGTTAAAAGAGAGAATCAAATTTATGGACCTGATTCTAAGAAATACCAGACTTCCCACTACTAAGCCTTAATTTTTATTAGGTGCAAAATATAACCCCACAATAGGTTGTTATAAAGAAAAAAGTTTTGTCAAGTGCTATAAAAATGTGAATTACTTCTCACTCCTTGAGAGGTTAGGACATACAAGTCTTTATTTAAAAAAAAAAAAGTCTATCCCTAATCCCCTTACTAAAACCTAGTAAAACCCAACAGCTCAATCCCACTTAAGTCTCCAGAATGGCATACCTCTCCTACTTGGCCTAATTCTCAAGGCAGCCACCATCAGTTAAGGTAGAAATCTTAGCCCTTAATGGACATTACATCCAGGCACTACAGAACTTGCTCCTGGCTAGAGGCAGTCAGGTGGATGGCACAGTGGGCCTGAAGTCAAGAAAAACTGAATTCAAATCTAGCCTCTGACACTTACAACTGTGTGACCCTGGACAAGTCACTTTACCTATCTACCTCGGGTTCCCCAACTGTAAAATGGAAATAATAAAAATAAAAACCTATTACTTACCTCACGAGGTTTTTGTGAAGATCAAACGAGATGATATTCTGTTAGCACTGTTAGCCAGTGTCCGGTACGTATTAGGCGCTTAATAAATGCTTGTTCCTTTCCTCTCTTTCCCTAAAAAAATAAAATAAAGTTCATCATGTGCCTTTTAAAAAAAGGCAGGAATACATGATTATTTAGGAAAAAAGCTTTTGAGAACAGAAAGGGAACAGAGACCGACCAGCGAGGTGGAAAAGAAAGCGCGCGGATTTGGACTCGGAAGCCCTGAGTTCTTTCTGATTCTTGACCCTAAAAAATCTTGAGCCTCAGTTTGCTCAGTCGTAAAATGAAGAAACTGGACTAAGTGATGACTATCCAGCTGCATAACTCCTCAGATCCCACGGACCAGAGTCTGCGACCACAAGGACCTCATCTCCACGTCCTCATCACTTGGGGAGCCACCCGGAGGGGGCAAACGGGCCTTCCCCGAGACAAGCAACACAGACGAAAAGGAAGACTTGCTCCACAGCCCGAACCCCATCCCTGGGCGGAGGAGGGGTAGACCCGGGACCCAGACCAGGAAAACGTGGCTTAGTGAGATGGGGGCTGGGGTTCTTGGCCGTTCAGTCTCGGCTTTGGCCCGCTGCTTTTGGAACTTACTGCAACACGGAACGTAGCGAGAGGTAGGGGACGACCGGGGGTCGCGGGTCGCGAGCCGCGTGCTCCGAATCCAAGGAGCTCCCGCAGTGAGGACCAGCAGCCGCAAACAATTTCACCGCGTTCTAGCCCTACAACCCCCAAGATTTATAGCTTCCCCGCTCTGGTCCCGCCCCTTAAAGGGGTAGCGCAGGTTTAAAGCTTACACTGCGGGTTCGCTCCTAGAGGAGACGTGTTGGCAAGAGCAGTAAGAAGGAAGTGAGTGGGGATGGGGGTGGGGGTGGGGGAGGGTGTTGGAAGAAGCCCCAATCCCGCTGTACTTTTTCCTGGAACACGCAGATAAGGAAACCCTTCCAGCCCTGAAAAAGGGAGGAGAGGAGGGAGATACACAGAGAGATGGACAGCAAGAGAGACAAATACAGAGAAACAGAGACCGAAGAGCCAGTGACAAAGGGACAGAGACAAAAGTGACAGAGGCAGAGAAACAGAGTTAGAGACAGAGAGATAGAAGAGACAAGACAGAGGGAGATAGATGAATAGTCAGAGATAGAGATAGAGAAGAGACCAGGACAGAGGGAATCAGAGAAAGACAAAAGAGACAGAGACTGAGAGACACATTTTTATAGTTTCGCTCCCTTCCAGCGTAGGAAAATTCAGGCACAGTAAGGCAAATTTCCCTGAGATCTCTGTAGGATGAACTCAAAGGGCTGGGTGTCTCAGCGTCCAGCACAACTGAAGGAGAGGACCAGAGTGTCTTCCGAGCTGATTCTTAAGGATCCAGAGTCTGCTCTAGGCCTACTTACTTAGCTAACATTTTATGTCGTGTTTTAGGGTCTGCAGATCAAGTTACAGACACATTCTCGTCTCATCTTTTTTTTTTCCTTAGGCAGGGTTAAGTGACTTGGCCAAGCTCACTTAGCTAGTAAGTGTCCAAGACTACTGGATTTGAACTCAAGTCCTTCTGACTCCCGAACCAGTGCTCTAGCCACCGTGCCACCTAGCTTCGCCCTCGTCCCATCCTTCTTCCAAGGCCCAGCTTAGGTCCCAATCTTACCTTCTTGGGGAGTGCTCACTCTCCCTCCTTTAATATTCCCCTGGCACTTTCTCCTCCTCCCCCTTCCCCTTCCCTCCTCCTCCCCCTTATTATTGCCCACCACCTTTTATTATACTACTAAGCTTCTGGGTTGCTGACTTTCTTTTGTCTTTACATTTATATACCCAGGGGCCAGCTGACACCAATTCCCTTTGAATTGCTCTGACACCTACTACCTAACCCGCCAAACAAGCAAACCAGCCAAGTATTTCAGAGACTACTACTACTTTCCAGCCGTAGTAGTAGGCCTTGGAGATATCGAGACAAACACCCACAGGAAACTTACTTCTATAGGGGGAAACAACATTGTTATTCAGTCCTGTCTGACTCTCCTTGGCAAAGATACTGAAGTGTTTTGCCATTTCCTTCTCCTGCTCATTTTACTGATAAGGAAACTGAGGCAAATAGTGTTAAGTGCTTTAGCCAGAATCACACGGCTAGGAAGTGTCTGAGGCCAGATTTGAACTCAGGAAGTTGAGTCTTCCTGACTCCAGGCCTGGCACTCTACACACCACAACATAAACAAACTTTATTCCTGGTAATTAGGGGTAGGGATGGCTTTGACAGCTGGGGAGAAATCCAAAAAAATCTCATGTAGAAGACAGCCCTTGAAATGAATTTGAAGGAATCAAGGGATTCTAAGAGGCTGGCTGAAGTGGGGAAGTTAAAGTAAGGTTGCCTCTCCTGCCTCAGTTTCACGGCATCCTAGATTTAGATCTGGAAAGGACCTTAAAGGTCGTTGAGTCCAATACACTGGTTTTAAAGATAAGGAAACTGGGGGCAGCTAGGCAGCGCAGTGGAAAGAGCACCGGCCCTGAAGTCAGGAGGACCTGAATTCAAATGTGACCTCAGACCAAACACTGGACACTTATTAGTTGTGTGACCCTGGGCAAGTCACTTAACCCCAACTGCCTAATTTAAAAAAAAAAAGAATTATTAAAGATAAGGAAACTGAAGCACAGAAAGACTAAATGATTTGTCCAGGCTCACACAGCTCATCTGTGACAGAGGCAGGGTTTGAACTCAGTCTTTCTAACTTCTGTTCTCTCACCTCTACCCACTCCACCATGCTGCCATTCATCTGTAAAATCCAGAGGCTGGACTCAAGGAAAGGCCTCCAAGGTCCCTTCCAATTCTATAAATGTATGACTCCTGGCAAGCTTTCATTTAACCGCTGCCTAATAGTGTGCCAATAGTGATGAATTCACTACCTCCCAAGGTACTACCATCACCATTTTACAGATGAGGAAATTGAGGCACAGAGTGAATCAAGTGACCTGCTCAGATGAAAGAATTGTTAAGTAGAAGAATCCAATTTCAGACCCAGATTTTCTGACTCCAAAACCAGCATTCTTTTAACTGTGTGTTTCCTAGTTGCCTTCTTCTGAGGCATCATTGTTTGAGTATGGACAAGGCCTAGGATTTTCTAAAACTATGCCACTGAAATGGAAGCTCTGGTCTACCCATAAAGCTAGGAAAGCATCAAGTTCTCCCTACCACAGGTTGTGTGTCTATAATCTGAGGCCCCATCCACCTGAATTGGGAGAGTTTCAAAGTATAACCAATGGGTCTTTCATATATCCCAAGGGTGTGGCCCTTTTTGGATAATACAGAGATATTGAAACTTGATAGAACCTATATAAATATAAACTCTTGGGAGGGGTGTCTTCCATTTTTAAGCATGTGAAGGGACCCAGAGATCAAAAAGTTTAAGAACTGATGGATTCTTAAGGACCTTTCCAGCTTGAGATTTTATGAACTGTTTGGAAACAGGTGCAGAGTAGAATAAATCTTAATCTAGAAAATTCAGCCAGAAATAAAGCTTGTCATGCTATTTGTCTGGTTGACAGTTCTCTTGCTACCTATCCTGGGAAGAGAGAATGCCTGGGAGTACCCATAACTTTGTCAGAGGCTGGTCAGGGCTGGAACAGGCCTGGGGGTAGGGAGAAGCCCAATTAACTGCATCTCGACCTTTCCCCTACTTTTCTGTACTCTATATTGTCAGGCAGGGGAGGAGGCAGAGAGAGGGGGTTGGGAGATGGAATAAGGGAGAAGAATAGAGCTGAGGAGTGCCAGAAAGGGGGTGGAAGTTTGAGAGCCTTCATTTTAACACTTTCTCCTGATTTTCCCACTCTGCTTCTAGTCTTCCATGTCCATTCTTTTTTGCTTATGGTTAGGCCTGGGTAGTATAATTTAAAAATGACAACATTACCGAAGTTAATTTACTTGTTGAGTGCCATGCTAATCAAACCATTTTATTACTTTATAGAGCTAGAAAAAATAATAATAATTGAATCTATCTGGAGGAACAAAGGTCAAAAATCTCAAGGGAAATAAAGAAAAAAAAGTAGAATACAAGGGGTCCTAAAGTAATTCTTTTGCTCAATATTTCCTTTCAAATTTTGAGGTCCTATTATGTATATGGAAACATTTTTTAAAATTTAGATGACATTTACAAATATATATTCTTTCTACAGGAAGACTTATCTTCCTGAGTTCAAATCTGGCCTCAGATATTTCCTACCTGTGTGACCCTGGGCAAATCACTTAACACTATTTGCCTCAGTTTCCTCATCTGTAAAACGAGCAGGAGAAGGAAATGGCAAACCACTCCAGTATCTTTGCCAAGAAAACGCCAAAATGGGGTCATGAAGAGTCGAGGATTGAAATAACTGAACAACAAATTCTTTTTACGTTGTTTAAATTTCCTCTGCCCCTCAACCCTCTTCATAGTCTCCTAGAGAACCATCCCATATAACAAAGAATTTTTTTAAAGAACAAAAGGAAGAGAAAAAGAATCAACTTTGCTGAAAACTTGAAAATACTTACAATGGAAATATACAATGTTCCATATCCCTGGACTTCCCACCTTTGCAAAAAAGGGAGGATAGAGGAAGCTTCTTCCTACCACTCTTTTCTTCTGTTATTCATCCATCACAATTAGATTGTAAACTCTTTGAGAACAGGGACAGTTTTTTGCCTCTTTTTGTATCCTCAGCACTTAGCACAGTGCCTAGTAGGAGCCATTTAGTAGGAGCTTAGTAAATATTTATTGACTGACACAGTGCAATAAATATCTGAGGCAAGATTCTAGCCCAGATCTCATTCACTCCAAGTTTGTCTACTTCACAAGTCTTAATTACTGTGCCACCTAGCTGCCCAGGTACAGTGGGAAAAGCACTAGTTCTGGAGTCAGATGTTGTAGTTGAGTTGTTTCAGTTGTATCTGACTCTTCATGAGCCAGTATAGGGTTTTCTTGGCAAAGATCCTGGAGTGGTTTGCCATTTCCTTCTCTAGCTCATTTTACAGATGAGAAAACTGAGGCAAACAGGGTTAAGTGACTTGTCCAAGGTCACACAATTAGGAAGTGTCTGAGACCAGATTTGAACTCAAGAAGATGAGTCTTCCTGACTGGAGTCAGATGACCCTAAGTCAAATCCTGACTCTACCTCATGCCAAGATTTTAAGGCAGTGTTCCAAAATGGCTTGTACAGACACTAAGTTAATTTCTTTACTAGTTTAGAAGAAGCAGAGAGTACTGTGGCATAGAGCAGTCAGGGAAGGGCTTCATGCAGTAGGTGCTATTTGAACTGGGCTAAATATAGCCAAATAGTCCCTAAAGGACAAGGGAATTCAGGGGGGAAAAAGGTACATTTGTGTGTTCCAGGGCAGATTACAGGGTGAGAGCAAATGATGGGCATAGGGGACCTTCAGTCAAATTTTACTTAGGCATGTGGACATTAGTTGTCAGATTTTGTTTAGGGATGTGGACATAAACTTTCCACTTCTGGCGACTAATTCCCTAAAGAAAAACAGGACCCAGATACCATCTTGGCACAATGGAAAGACTCCTGGATCTAGGGAGGACTCCAGCTGGAACCCTGCTTGTCACCAATTCCCTTGGTGACTGTAAACATCTGGACAAATCCCATCACTTTCCTGGGCTCCACTTTCCTAATCAGTAAAAATGAGAGGGATCAGAGCAATCAGATGACTTCTAAAATCCCCTTTAGCTCTAAAGCTAGGATCCTA